CCTCCCCGCGCGCCCCGGAACCTCGCAGCGACGCGGCAGCTCTGGGCCCGGGCCTACCCAGCGCGGCGGCGGCGTGAGGCGCAGGCAGGCTGCGGTGACGGGCCTGGGGCGGCTGTGCCCCTAGCGATGGGCCTGGGGGTGGCTATGCCCCTAGTTAGTTGTCCCCAGGCCCGGACCCATGTGCCCCTAGTGATGGGCCTAGGGGCGGCGGTGGTGGGTCTGTGCCCCTAGTGTTAGGTCTAGGGGGGGTGGTGATGGGGTGGGGGTGGCAGGTGCTGGCAGTGATGCCCATGGGGATGTGCCAGTGGCCTGTTGGCAGGCGCCTCCCCCCGGGAAGCTGCTCAGCAGGGTTGGGGGCATGCTGGACAGCTGAACACTGGCGGCTTTTTCTCCCTCGCAGCCATGGAAGCCAAACCCATCGTGACGTCGAGGCAGAGGACGGTGGCAGTGCAGGGCGTGCCAACGGAGGTGGTGTGCATGGCCTTCTCCAACTCCATCCTGGTGGTGGTCACGCAGTACGGGAAGATGGGGACGCTGGTCTACGTGGACCCCGACGTCATCAACAATGACGTCGGCCGGCCTGTCCTCACCACAAAAGTGCTGCTGGGGCAGGATGAGGTAAAAGCAGAGCACGTCATGCTGAAGAGCGAGGGGCGACTTACGCTAGCTTGAAATGCAGCCCTGCTCAGGCTGGCAAGAGGTGGATGAATCGGCCGCATGAAGACAGGCTGACATTTGCATGTAGCGGCAGGATGGAAGAATCTGGTGCTGAGGGAGGAGGGGGTCACCAGTCAATCCTGTGCTTTCACCAAGGGTTCAATATTACCAAAGTCCTATTAACTCTAAACTGAAGGCATCTGTGGATCTATTTGCCTCTCACTGTGCTGGCTATGTAATGCGTCCTGGGTTCACAGTGGGCTTGATCCAGCTCCTGTTGTCTGCAAAGATTAAAGACCAAACCTGGTGGCCTAGATTAGCCTTTCTTTGGCTCTTGCTCCAGTCAGTTTTGCCTTCCCACCACTCTTTTTTTCTCCCAACCTTTGTCTTTTCCAGAACTGACTTCCGTTTCCCTCTCAAATGTCCCTGCCAGCAGCTGCCTTTGCTAAGTTGAATTCAATTTGGCTTAAACAAAATGGGTTTTTAATTGACCATTATACAGAAATCAAGAAAACAGCGTATTTCAGAAAGCATCCACTAGACCAGTACTAAACATAAAGTTACATGATGCTGCAAGATCACGTGGCTCTGCAGTATTATTAGAACTGCTTAGTATTGTTTGCTAACCCTAACTAAAAAAAACCCAGTACTGTGACTAATTCCTAATTTTCTCAGCAGCCTCTCTTTATGTAATCCATGACTTCACTAACTGGCCTCCTTCCCTTCACATGGGACTTATCTGCTTTTGTTTGAAACGGCTACTTCCGTGGTGTGAAGTCCACTTAAATTGGAGCAAAAAAGCAATTCGGTGTCTGTTACCATACGTTAAACTATGAATTTTCCCGTTGCCAGTAGGCATATTTATACTCTATGAAATAATTTCAACAAGTTTTATGTACATGGTCATTACCTGCTCCTTTACTTGTAATTAATTAATCTAAACTTTTAAGGAAGAATTTCATTTGCTTGACAACCAAGCACTTCCTGTCTGGCATTTTGGGATAATGAACATCCCAACCCAACGTAAGTGTAGAAAGAAAAGCAAACCTCTGAAAAACATGCATGGTAAAATGGATATAAATAAAACCTGAACAAGGTAGGTACACTTATTAGAGACTGCCTAATTAAAAAGGTTTGATTATATCATCTTTCACTAGTACTCTTAGCCTGATCATTTGTTTTTGGTTTATAGACTTTGGCTGTCACCAGCAGGTGTTCAAATGATACCATTCCAGGCTTAAGTATTGCAAAAATAGGCCTGCATTCCTACCAGAGTCAAATGCATCCTAATCTATAGCAGGTTATTAAACAAACAAAAGAGTTAATGATGTCTTAAAAAACTTGGCTGTGATGGGGATGTTCATCAGGGTGCATTGAATTTTTACATTAGCTGGTATTTGGTGATGTGGGAAATCCTGGTGTTACATCTCCGGTAATAGCCCTGTCATGAGTGACTTTCCACACTGGGCTTCAGAATTCTTTCTGAACTACTACAAAATTTGGTTAAAGTGCAGCTCCAGTTACAATATTAAGCATGGTTTATTTGGCTAGAATTTATGGGTCCAAGCTGCTCCCTTCTAAAATGTAGCCAAATGGCATTTCAGCCTCTGATCATGTCTAAACCCTTCAGCAAACAGTTTGAGCTCCATACTGATAGATCCTAAATATGCTCAAAAAATAGCTATTTCAGAAGGATTGTATTATTAGCTAATGGACCACTTTGGGAAGATTCTCTCAAGTGAAGGAATGTGAGTGTTTTTATTTGCTTTTCAGCCCCTCATCCATGTGTGTGCCAAAAACCTGGTATCGTTTGTGTCTGAGGAAGCTGGGAACAAACCTGTTCTTCTGGCTATCGCCTTAAAGGACAAGACCATGGAAGGCATAAAAGCTCTGCAGGAAGCGATCCAAAGTTGCCAAGTGTGGTGAGGCTGCACCATGCAATTGAAAGGAAGAGCTCTTGAGTCAGGATACCATTTACTTTAAAGGACAGAATATTGGAAATTATGGGATGTCTTTATCACAGCTTTGGACCATGTTAAGGAATTTTGTGAAATGCTGTATACCATGTAGAATGCTTTGAGGTTGTGATGGTGTCGGTGGCAGTGACGTGGATTTGGAGTCCATGCAGTAAGTAATGAATTTGGAATGGTATTCTCAACACTCAAGGAATTTTTATTTTTCCTCACACTGGGGGGAGGGCTGCATTTTTTTGGAGAACTGCATGTGGCTTTGTATCCTCATCTTGAGAAGTAAAGCCCCGTGACAACGAAACACTGTGCTGTAGCGTGAAGTCTGATGCAGAATGAATAAAGAAACATCAATGAAAGCATCATTTTACCCGCTTCTCCCCCATGACAACCAGATGATATGAAACATTTTGGACCTGAATCAAGTTAATAGGAATTGCAAACAGTACAAAGTAGGAGGAAATGTTGACTTGACTTCAGGGTCCAGTGGAAACCATAGCAAATCTTTATTGTGCATAGTTGCACACATCGGGCACTCCAGCTTCTGTCATCAGGAGAAACCATTAACTTGAAAGTTACAAATATCCGTGCAAGCTGTAGTTACAAGTAGCATCTAATATTGTTGTCATTGAAAGAAATGATTAAATTAAAATATTTTTCTCTATTTTTGCAGCATGCTTAATTAGTACATAGCGAACCTCACTGGAACATCCAAGTCCTGATCTTGCTGTTACAGTCTCATCAGTGGACGCTGGTGCTTGTTGGAAGCCCCATTAAGTTCAGTAGGGCCTCTGCACGGACACAAGGACTCACCTCCACAGCTGCAGTTGCAGGATAGGGCCTCTATTCTGTTTCTTCCTTGCTAATGGGACCTTGTGGATATCAGTGGAGGAGCAGAACAATCCATGCATCTTTTAAAAGAATTAAAAAAATTATCAGGATATACTGTTTAAAAGACTGCATGTCAAAAAGTGCAGTTTTAAAAAGACTCAGATTCAAAACTGCCTGGCTTAACAGTGTCCCTTTAAAGAAATAGGGCTTAACTGCATTATTTAGAAATCTGTATCTCCGAGCCACTGTGCTTGCAGTTGTCAGAATCCTGACGTTCCCCTTATTTTATACCCGCCACCCTTGCTACAACTCTGGACAAGGAGGGCTCCAGGGTATGTTGAAGTCTCTAAACACTATTTCACAAATAACCTTTCAAAGCATTTTCTAAGTCCTGGTATTGAATGTGCAATTTCTACTGCTCACAGCCCCTACCATCTCAGGGAATATGACTTAATACTATAAATTGAATCCTGAACGTTCCCTCCATGATAGCAATAGCAAATATTCCAACTATGTCCTGAAGAAAAACTTGAACAGCTGCTTAAAAACAAGCAAAGGATAACCACCCAGTGTAATAGCATTATGAGAGATTGCTTGTCTTGCATCTGTGGGTGACTGGCAAAGGAGGAAGTTGGAATCCTTTTTCAGCTGGCTGTTAGTTAAAGCTGCAGGTAGTTAGGCTGGTATTTTACTGCTTCCTGTAAGATATAAATTAGATACGTGAGTGGTGTGAAAAAATCTTTAGGTCCCTAAGCTGCCAACACTGCTCTTTGCACTGCTGTAATTCACAGAAATATGTGCCCCAATGAACAGATTTATAGACCTAGCTGCTTCTACCAGACAAGCTGTCTGCTTTTTAGGAATCCTTCTTCCACCCAGTGTATGGGCTAAGTATTGTGCTTGTCCAAAACCCTCATTGCACCTTTTTAAAGCTATCTTGCCATGTGTAAGTCACACACCAAGTGTTTATTCATTGTTCCCTATGCAAGTGGCTGCTTCAGCAAGGTTGTTTAAGTTGTGGCCCAGTCCAGTGGTAATTACATCGATGCGTACAAGTCCCGAATGTTGCAAAATACCGTAGGACACAGGAACAACAACAGGCTGGACTTACTGGGTGTAGTAGATATGTGGGGCAAGGATTATGATTTCCTAAGCCTGCCCAGGTGTTTATTTTCTGGGTGTGGGAGCCCTGAGCAAGAAGCCAGAAGTGCAGCAAACTGGAAATGTATGTTTTGCAACCTTTTAGCCATGAAACTGGGAAATAAACAGCGACAGGCCTATTTGGTATGCATGGTGGGTGGCAGTGGGGCTGGCCCCCAAAGAAACTTGCCTCCTCTGTTATTGAAAGGGGCTATTAAGTGCATAACAATTGGATACTTTGGGCAACTAAAGTGAAAATGGATGGGAGTGTGGGTAAAAGCTTACTAACAAGTGCTCAGAAGATGGGGCACTGAGCAAAGCTAGTGCCCACTGACCCTCAAACAAGACCAAGAAGCCAGCGGACACTGCCCAGGGAAACTTCCCCAGAGATGTGAATGGATGAGGGGCAGGAAGATGGGCTGGAGCCTGCTTTTCTGTCAGCTAGGTGCCCACCTGAGCTAGGGCCAGGAAGAGATTGAGAGGTCCAGGGATTTGCTGTGATCACAATGGGGAGAACATAGCACAAATACAGGGAGGTATACATCCACACCCTCTGCAGAGGTTCCTGAGGAGGTGAGGAAGGGGCTCAACCTGGCATGCTCCAGGGAGCAGAAGACCTGGCACATGCCTGGCAGCAGGGGCAGGTGTTAGGGGTGCCCGTAGATCCATGTGGGAGCCGCCAGTGGAGATCCCAGGGGGCTTGCAGGATACAGAGCATTGACGTATGGAGGGAGGCAAGGACATAAACGGTACCAGGAAGACGAGCCTAACTGGGAAGAGGCGAGGGAACGGGGAGCCACTTTGCAGCAGCCAAACAGGCTTTGGGACACTTCTGCTGCATGGCTGTGGGGTAAATCTGCCTGGTGTAGGGCCAGCCAGAGTGGAGGGGGCTGCTCCTTGAAATCTGGGGGGCAGGAGAGGGCAAAGGCACCCAGAGCAGAGCCTGGGGGAGCTCCCAACAGTCCTGGGCAGGAGGGAGGGAGGAGCCTGGGCGGAGGCAGGTGGAGGTGTGGTGCCAGCCGGCAGGAAGCAGCAGCAGAGACCAGGTGCAGCCTGCACGGTGAGTGCTGGATCCCTCCTGCTGGGCCGGGAGAAGGGCCCGGTGCTGGGTTCACCTCCCTGCCCCTGGGAGCTCAGGGCTGGGCCCTGTGGGCTGCAGAGCAGCACTGGGGAAGCGGGGGCCTGGCAGCTGCAAGGTGCAGGGAGGGGGTATGGGGGTAAATCCCTGCTTGACCTGCACCCTCCTGACCCACAGCCTAGCTGCTGTAGGGGAGCTCTGGCCTCTGCCCCAAGGATCAAAGGTGCTATTAAGGTACAAGCTGCAGCGAGGAGGACAAGGAGGAGTTGCCCTGAAGCCTATGGTCTCTGTGGGGCGGCTGCCGGTCATCCCTGGCACTTTCAGAGCCTCCAGCTTTTAAAATCTTGCCTTCTAGGGCTGGGGCAGGTGGGCCCATGTGGCTGTAGCTCTGTTCCAAGAGAGTTGGGAACAGAACGTGGGCATCCCGGCTTGCAACCGCAGGGGGAGAGCGGTGTGAACAAAGGTGGGTATAGGGCAGCTGCGCCTGTGCCACATTAGCTAGAGCTGAGTAGAAATGCAATGTGGCAACGTAATACTCTGCTGTCTCTTGAAGCTGTCTTTGTTTTTAGTTTAAAAAAAAAAAAACTGGGGGGGCTCAGATCCCCATTGCCTTAGTGTGTTCAAGCCCTGATCTCTATGGGATGTGGGTTCTCACGGAGTTCGGTCATGAGGGTGAGTTGTCTTAGTCATCACATTCATTTTCCTTTCTCCACTCTTCTGCCTTCTGTTTTGGAAGCAAATGGGTCTCTAGCAGCCTGGAAATGACCAGTTACCCAGCACAGCTGGCATCTAATTACTTTCCAGAGCTGGGAAATCCAGCTCAGCACTATTTAGAGGTTGTTGTTTTTAATGGATGTTGTTATAAGCTATTAACAGAGTCTTACAACAGCAGCTATCTTGTCAGCATTGGCTGGTGGAGTAGTCCTACTATTGCTGAATGTAGCTCCTAACTTTCTTCAGCCTTGATCAGGACAGGTAACGGAGCCTGTTAATAACACATCGTCACCTGGTCAAGACTAAAACTATAGAGTGACTGATGTGCCACTGTGCAACTGCTGGAAATGTAGAGTGGCCCAAGCAAAGTTGAAATCACCTGCAAACCATCTATTTGGGCTGTCATCTGTGTTGTACAAGTGTTGGCAAGCAGGAACCACAACATAATTGTTAAGTCAGGCCAGCCAGAGGGGCTTAGCTCAACACAGGGTGAAGAAGAGAAGGGGTCCAGAATAGGTGCATCTTCTGTGGAGTAGCAGAGAAGGCCTGCGCATGTGAACACCATACATCATGTGAGCATTTTGACCTGTTGTAGGTGGCTGGGGGGGGGTCGCTAATCATTTAGGGCTGTCTACATTGCCTTGCAGCCTCCAGCCTAGGAAGGAAGAGTTGCAAGCTGGTGACTGGTGAAAAGGATCTGCTGTGATTGGATATGAGCAATGGGCGACAGTGGGATTGCAGTTAGCTGTTTAGAGAGAGTCACTAGAGACCTGCCTGTATTGGAGATCTACCCTGCTTCCAGCAAGAGATAGCAAGTCACTGATGAAGCTGAATCTCTCCAGGTTGTATTTGTCACCAAAGAAAGCTGCCATTTGCATTGACTGTTTTAGACCTGAGGAGCAGAGGCTGGTTATGGTATGAAATCGGCTTTGCACTTGTGATAAGTCTGGGATCAAGCAAATGTTACTTGTCATCTTTGAACTAGGTCATTGTGGCTGAAAAATGGTTTTACTGCCATGCTTTATAGTTAACCACTTTGTTAATGGGAGGTCTAGAGTAAGTACAGTGTCCTCTAGATATGACTCGATTCTGATTTGAAAAAAAAAAAATTCTGCTCTTAGTCCTGTGAACCCAGGATCTAACATCTAGACTACGATCTCCCTCTAGTGTGTTGTAAGCAAGGACAATTTGATCTACAGAATCTGTGAAAGGAGAGAGTGCATGAAAAGCAATAACCCAGCTGGATAATTGTGTCCTCAGGTGACCGTATGGTTCTGGCACTTTAAAGCATTTTGTCTTGCTGAGTGATCAGATCTGATTGAGATGCAACCATCATGGAGCCTCACCACATTTTTGGAAACTGTCAGACACCTGGCCAGCTTAGAGCCAATTAGCACACTTTGATCTCTGCTGTTTTTTATGTGCATATATGAACTGAGCTCCTATTCAGAGATTTGTCTCCCATATGTTGCTGGATAACTTTTGGGAGCAGGGGGCACAGCATTCTGCCTGGGGTCCTAGCAACAATACTTTCCTCTTCTGGCTATTTTCTTAGCATCTCTTGTTGCGTTTCATCTCAAGCCATACATGGTGCTCATTTCTCCTTTCTTGTTGGGGAGGTGTTATTTGGATTAATCAGGTTATTGGAGAGGGGCATCTCTGCCTTTTAACAAAAAGAGCAAAAAAGCACCCTTTGAAGCTTGCTGGGGGATTTGGGGGTGGGGGGCATGATGAGCAGCAATGGAAGATGAGCCCATGTGCTCTGTTTTAGGGTCATCTTCTGTAATCCAGTCTGTATTCTCTTCGTTCTGCTGACCCAAAATGGGTATTGCTATGACCTAATGGAAAGGAGAGGGTTATCCCATAAGACCTTTGGGCTCTCAGCTGAGCGGCTCACACTGACCTCAGCAGGCTTTGGATCAATAAAGTGCAGGTTCTAGGAAATGAAATGTTTTGGAGATCAGGCATGAAAATGAAATGGTGAAAGCCAGCTGGCCTCAAAGGGTCTTGTTTAATTGTTGGGATCTGGTCAGTTCTTTCCCTCCTGTCTCGCACCTTAGCTTTTTGATGGCTGAGTGCTTAAATGCCACAGACCATAAAACTGGGCACGGTTTTAAAAATAGACCAAATAAGTGGAGGCTAAGAACAGTACCTACCTTTGGGGGAGCAGGAACTCTGTGCCTAACGACTGCTTTTAGTGCCTATAAGTGCCTGGAAAAGCTTTGCCATGCTTGGGGGAACGGAGACTGTCCATATAATTGACATCAGGATGTGCTTTGGGGAATGCTGATCAGTGTTAATGCATGTGGCTTTCCGACTTCAGGCACAGGTGGGAGGAAGGGGGGGGAAACTCTTCCTGAGCAGCAGCAGGGAGGGAGCAAATGCTTATGGCTCTGTCCTTCCCTAGACTTATCTTGGGTTAGGATAACTACAGCGTGTTCCCTCTTCCCCCAACACACTGCCAGCAGATCTAGGCAGTAACTGGCTTCCTTCTGTCATTCGAACCTATTGGATATGCCTGCTCCTTACAGCCCGAGCCCCCACCTGTTGTGGAGTATCCTTTGCACTTGTACAGACTTGGAAGCAGCGTTCTCCCTTCCCAGGGGAAGTAGGTGGGGCTGGCCCTGGACTGACTGCTGCCCGCTGTCCAATTGCTAGGACGCGGCACCCGTACCAGACTGTTCCAGGGCTGGTTGCAAAGCAAACAGGGAAGAGGATAGCTACTAAAAAGAAAGCACGATCTTCCTCTGGGCTCCCTCCATTTCCAGGGCTCCCTCGCTATCTCTGCCATCCTGTTAATATTTACATGGCAGGTGTTCATGGCACATCCATCTGTCCAAAGGACAGATCCCTTCAAACATGTGCAGCTCTCCCTTGAATCCTGTTTCCCCGTGGCTGGAGAAGTGCTGTGAATCCGCCCAGGTATTTGTTACGCAGAGAAGCTCGGCAGTCAGGTGACTTTTAAGTAATTCTACCCTCTTCTTCACTCCACTTATCTCTCTGTTTTTCTTTTCCACCTTCCAGGTACGGGTATTCTGGGGGTGAACTCTGAGCTGTTGCCAACGTGCACAGCCAAACAGCCTGCAGTTAGGACATCTCGCCTTACATGTGAATTCTCCTCTGCCAGCTCGTCCCCCACCCATGGGGGGAAGCAATATTTTTAGCCCCCGGTACGTGTTTCTGTTGACTTTACACCATCTGAATTTCCCCTCCTGCAAGGTAAGAATCAAGAGGAGAGGATGAATGAGGAAGCTCTGGGAAAAAGTTGTGCTTTTTTTTTTTTTTAATTATTTAAATATTTTATTAATAACAGCTCAACTTCCAACAGGGATCTTTGCTCACGCCTGCCTGTGGGACTTGGGTAGACAACACTGCTGGTGGGTCTTCAGGGAAATGGTGGCTAAAATGGAGGGATTAGACTGTACTGCTTAACATAAATATATGCATATTTTCCTTTAAGGCTGGATTTAAAAAAAACATTGTTATGAAAATCTCATTGCAGAGAGTTTAATGCAGGCTGAAGAAATGAAAGGCCAAAGATGGAAACTTAGGTGTCTAGAGGCCTTTAGGTATGATGCCACCCTATAAATAAAAATGTATTTTTAGGTCAGTTCTTTCTGTAGCTAGACACAGGGTACATGTGCCTGGAACATGCTGATGATCCTTTCCTGTTATGACATCTAGCATGGGGAGGAGGAAGCCTGCTGGTGACTGCAGACAGCATTGCGATGGTTGCCAGGTGCTTGTGGGATTAGTTTTGTGTGTTGTGTGGAGTTTTTTGGGTTTTTTTTAAAAGCCCCTGGGGGATGTTCAGACCCAACTGGGCTGCAGGCCTCTGCTGTCTCTGGAGGGAGCTCTGTTCTAGCCCAGCAAAATAGCATCTCTGAATAGATCCTGGTGTTTCACAATGTACAGAGAGAAACATAGCCATCTCTGAGCTAGATGTCACCCATGCCTGGTACCTTGGCTGTGCAGGTGGATACAACAGCTGTTTTAAGGAGTGAGCTGGTAGACCTGGATTCCCATTCTGCCTCCAGGGATGGGGGTGCAGCACTATTATTTTGAGGGGCCAGTCAAGGTGTTAAACCCTAGTAAATGGTAAGGGGAATCTCTTTTCCCTTGGGTTTATATGTGGGCCCTATGGCCCTGATATTTCTGTATTGAAACCATCTCAGATGGGGAGAGACTGGGCAAAATGCGCTTGTGGTGGCTTCCTGATCCTGTGTGCCTCCAGTATCCTGGAGGCATGGTGGGCTTCCTTCTCAAACATATGCCCTCCCTTTGTACCAGGAGGCAGTTGCAGCTTGCTTTCTTACTTGGCAGACCAGATGGGACCCTGCACAGCAGGTTAGGTGTAAATTCCCCAGAGCAAGGGGACCTGTTTCCTTCGCCAGTGTATAAGAAGTTTAGAACAGCAGAAAGGATGGAAATCCAGGCTAGGAGGTGCACGTGTGTGCAAAACCAGTGGAGGAGACTGAGCTGAGGGGTCTCCCTTGGGGGAAGGAGGGTCTCTCCATGCCCAGAGATGGATCTTTTCAAGTTCTGAGAGTTTACTTCCACGGGAGGAAGAGAAAAGCAGATAATGCCATGGTGTTCTAGTTTTTAAGACTCTTAAATGACAATTGGTGTCTCTGCAAATGGGTGGCTGGTCAGAAACCCAGAAGGTATTTCTCTGGGAAACATGGCTGTAAAATGGGCCTAGTAAGAGCCCAGCACAACCCCTAAGAGGCCAGGTATGGGCAGCGTGCTGACTCCTCTAGCCCTTCCAGTGGGTGCTGCCGAGGAAAGACATGAATAGGCCTTCCTGAGGCTCTTGGGAAACCCATCCGACAGCCTTTTTTGAGCTCCAAAAGATGGTTCTGGGGAAGGGCTCTGAGCATAGCCAGGAGAAATACCGAGACCCTTTCTTGACTCCTTGCTCCATCTCCTTTGAGCAAACTCAGCTGTTCATTTACCTGCCTGCTGAGGTGTCCTCTTGGATTTCCCCAGTCGTTTCCTGTAGTCCAGGAGGTGACTACCTCTCCACTGGTGTTTGCTCCCTACAGATCTTAGCTGTATTAACTGGAGTGTCACTTGCAAATCAAGGGAAGGGAATCCTTCACTCTGTTCAGGACTGCTGAGGCCTTGCACTGAGAACCATGTCCAGTTTTGGGCCCCACGCTTCAAGAAAGATATGGACAGTTTGGAAAGAGTTCAGCACAGGACAACATAACTGATTTAAGGGCCTGGGAGGCAAGACTTGCAAGGAAAGGCTGAAAGAACTATGGCTGGAGAAGAGCCTTGTGGGGAGATTTGATGACAGACTTCAAATACCTGAAGGGTGATTACAGGGAGGATGGAAGTGGGCTTTTCTCTGTGTTTGTAGGGGACAGGGTTAGGAGCAATGGCTTCAAGCTGTAATAGGGGAAATTTAGGCTGGAGATTAGGAGGAACTTTGACTGAGAGTGGTCAGACATGGAAACAGGCTACCTCGAAGTTGTGGGTTCTCCATGCTTGGAAACTTTTTCAAAAGCAGGATCAACAGGCACTTGACTGGAGTGGTTTAATTGGGGATGATCCTGCCTTGAGCAAGGGGCTGGACTAGACAACCATGTGAGCTTCCAGCCCTGTACGATTTCCCTCCTTCCTCTCCCTGTTTTTGCCCGCTGCGAGCTCCCTCACTCACTTCTGTGCTTTGTACATCCCAACTCCTTGTGTTCCTCTTCCTTGTTGCTCCACCTTTTGCTCACAGGCTCCTCTCTGCTTTGTTCTGCGCCTGCCTTCCCTGCTGTATTTACCTTTGCTCTCTCCTCTCTGCCAGATGAGTAATACCACGCATGCCAACGGGGCGTCTCCCACCGAGGCTGGTGCGGAGGTGACTAGCATGGTTGCGACCATGCTGCCAGCCGGGCTCTTCATGACGGTGGATCCCAGCCATTTCACTGTTGGAGATGGCTCCCAGCTCAAGGCTGTGCAGAACTACACGCAAGATGGCCAGCAGATTTTCCTGACCACAACAGCAGCACAAGTGATCTCTGGGCTGTTTGTGTGGTTGGCACTGATTCTCACCTTCCACCAGGTAAGGCACAGGCTGCCCGGGAGGAAGCATGTACCCCTGGCTCTGTAGGTGTGTTGTGACCTCTGGAGAGGGGTGGGAGGACTATAGGGGCCACAAAGCCTTGGATGAAGTATACTAAGCTAGCCAGAAGAGCATTCACTAATCCTATCTCTTTCTGCTTTCCCTACCCCTCGGGACAAGCATTTCAGTGCTCTGACTCTGGCCTCCTGGGGTGGCAGAGACTGTTGACGGTAGTAAGGCAGGTGGCTCAGCCAAATTCATAGCAGTGTTATGTGGAAGGGGATATCTCCAGCCATTGAGAACCTGGCACTAACAGCTCAGGAGAGTGGACTTTGTCCTTCTGTCCCCCGGTAGGGTTCCTGTGTGTCCTTTCTTGCTGTCATTATTTACCTGGGAGTCAGTATTCCTGAGGTTAAAGGAGTGACTTCCCTGTTCCAGGGAGCTCAAATCCCCTGCTTAATGTCCCCACTTCCCCCTGCACCAAACAGCATCTGTCTGCAGTCAGGGGGCACAAGTCCCACGCAAGTTCCCTTGAACTGCTTGTACCAACAATCAAATTCAAGGTATAAATCTGGAGGAACTCCTTTGAAATAAGTAAAATTACCCCAGGCTGACACTCATGTGGCCAAAAGCAGGGTCTGGCTGATGGCTCAGTTTCATGGGTGGGAGGTAGTTCTTGGGATGAGTGGTGTGGTGGGGTTGAGGCTCTTCGTCCCTGCAGGTGTGTATTGGGTCACAAGGAAGTTGAACTGTTCTGTTTCAGGCGTGGTTTCTTGCTCAAGAGGATCTCAGGCTGGACCAATGCGGCAGGTCTTTACTAGTGTGCACAAGCAGGGTAGAGGACCAGCATGGAACTGCCAGGGGGTTGGTGGGGCAGAGCTGAATAGGAAGTTTCTGGCTCTAGGTAAAATCTCCCACACTAGTGTTGGCACTGTGTAGAGCTGCTGCAGCCTCCAATACTCTCTGTGCTCAGTCCTGGCTGTGCCTCCTGGGGGTCCGGGTGAAATTGTGATGGCATTTGGAAGAGTGTCAGGGAACTGGATCTGCTGTGAGATGCTGGCAGGAGGCGAGACCATTTCAGGCTGGACATAAGGAAGAATTTCTTTACTGTCTGAGCCCCCAAGGTCTGGAACAGCCTGCCATCGGAGGTGGTTCAAGCACCTACATTGAACACCTTCAAGAGCAAATTGGATGCTTATGTTGCTGGGATCCTATGACCCCAGCTGACTTCCTGTCCTTTGGGCGGGAGGGCTGGACTTGATGATCTTCCGAGGTCCCTTCCAGCCCAGATGTCTATGAAATAACCTTACCTGAGGATATCTCCTGGCACACCCATTCCTTCCCCCAGCCCACCCCACCCCGGGCCTGATGGCCATGTGGGAATGGTGTCTTGCCATGTCTGCTTCTAGGGTTTTCATCAGCTGGCATTTGCTACAGTCCTAACATCACTGGACTCTCCCTCTTCCCCAGATCTACACACATCTGCGGAATTACACCATGCCCAACGAGCAGCGCTACATCATCCGCATCCTCTTCATCGTGCCCATCTATGCCTTCGACTCCTGGCTCAGCCTCCTGCTCATTGGAAGTCACCAGTATTACGTGTACTTTGACTCGGTGCGTGACTGTTATGAAGGTGAGCAGTACAGAGATGGAGGAGAGGAATCCAGTGGCTCTGGGGTGAAGGGTAGAGCAGGAAGAAGGTGAATGCTGTGGTGGATGGTGGCAGGTTTGGCTCTGGCTCCGGAGAAAGCTCTGGCCCATGGTGGGTATTGACAGGGGTGAATATTCTGTGTAGTCTCTAAGAAACTTCACCACTAAAATGAACGGAGGTAGGGTTGAGGCAACAGCTAGCCTCTCAAGCCAAACCTGGGTGATTTAGCAGCACCTTGCCAGAGATGACTAACAGCAAAACAGGATGAAATGGTGACAATCCCCATTATCCTTGTTGAAGAGCAGAGTGCTTCTCTGGAGCAGACCTAGGATGAAAGTATTTCTTTTCATTCAGTTGCTTCCCTTCTCCCTGGGAGACCTTCACTCCTTCCTGCACTTGTGGTTGCAGGAGGCAGGGACTCTGCAATGTGATCAATACACTGCATATTTCAGGAGCAAAATCTAAGCGTTTCCAGCAAAGTGAGATGCTTAACAACGTATGCTGTTGGGACTGCCTCCCTCATCCATGGTCACTCTTCACTAGAGTGTACAGCACGGTCCTGCACTAGCTGACAGCCCTGATAGATGAGTTATCAGATCTTTCCCTTCTCCAACTTCTTAGCCACCAAACCACAGTGAATATGCTGATTAGCTCCTGCTTCTGCTAGGGAAAAGGTTTGATTTTCTTTCTTTTTTTAAGGTGTCTGGCTCACTTTGGGTCAGGTATGTTAAATTTCACCTCTGCGCTTAAGACTTTGCATGTGAGTGTAGGTGTTGAGAACTTCTTGGTGATGCCTTAGCTTAAATACAGGGGAATATCTACTCTGTGAAGTTATACCCCTTTCTTAGCTTTCATAGGATATAAAAATAAAATAAATCTCAAATGGAAAGATCCTATAGAAACTGGGATGGGAGAAAGAAAGCTCAGGAGTGGAACCATTCCCATCAGTCAGAGCTACCGCTTGTCTGCAGACCTTGGGAGACAACTCTGCATCTCGTCATGCTTTGTGGGATCGGTTTTAAATGCAATCGGTAGTAATCATTGAAAATGCAGCCCCTTTTAGAGTGAAAGATCAGATTATTTAGAATGGAGGAGGGTTGGTTTGAGCTGCTGGGTCTCTGGAGGTCAGGCTGGTGTTATTCTTCCCACCTTCTCTATGGGCATGGGGGTATTTTTGTTAATGTATACTGGGTTTGAAGTAGGAAAAGGGGGAACATGACCAATGGGGTCTGTTACCAAACCTCAGTGATCAAGCTGGAGAGGAAATGAGTTAATGATAGGTGAGAGCAGTTCCCGAGTACTCCACCCCACAGCTCTTGCATCGCCCAGAGCAAACTCTTATTGACTCCTACTCAGAAGACAGGCCAGGGCTACCTATGAGGACCCAAGTACTAATGCTTAGCACTTGGAGTCCTTTCATGAGCACTGGCCTGCAGGGTCGCATCAATCCACTGTTCACATGTCCATCTCTGTCTTGCCAGCGTTTGTCATCTACAGTTTCCTGAGCCTCTGCTTCGAGTACCTGGGAGGGGAGAGCACCATCATGGCTGAGATCCGGGGGAAGCCTGTTGTGTAAGTGCCATGGTCCTGTTGAGTTCTTTCAGATCCCATCAGACCTGACGCCAGCTGATCTCTTTGTGTTCTGGCTCTAGGTCCAGTTGCGTTTATGGGACTTGCTGCCTGCGAGGAATGTCCTACTCCATCGGGTTCCTTCGGTTCTGCAAGCAGGTTGGTATCTGCCCTGGATTCCTTGGCTTGTTACGCAGATCAATGAGAGCCAGACCATCAAAACTTGAGGTCCTTTCTAGGCAGGCTTCTCTCTCCTGCTGCCTCATGGAGGGGTTCTGCTTTCCTTTTTCCTAAGCCCTTGGTCCTTCTCCAACATGTGGCAGCACGTCCAGTCCCTCAGGCACCCAGCCAGCAGCAGTCAGCTGTGCTTGCTATCATGCACTGCAGCTCTGCATCTGACTCATTGCTGAGTCAGGAGCTAGGCTCAGCAATGGGAGGAGACCCTGCCTTAATCTTTCTGGTCTTATTTGGTCATGGGTCCTAATTGCCAAGAGGCTCTACTGCCAGTCAAAGTCTAGTTCATGCTGGTCTGGGTCCTGTCTTGGGCTGAAGCGAGGGTGACTGTGGTTACTTCTAAATGCCTTCACTGCCTCTTATGATAACTCCATAGGGCTACAGTGTGCTTCCTTGCTGTGTTGCGGGTAACTGAGTCCAGGGAGAAGTTCCTCAGGTGCATCTAACCTTAGGGCCAGGAGCTCTGTTAAAAGTGGGGCATCAGGCAAGCTTCCTAAACCAGCCCAGCACACAGCGGGTTGGTGCTAGAGGGGAGGGAAGTAGGACAGGGTTTGGCTGAGGTTTGTCGTCTTGACACAAGAGAATGGCATAGAGATGATGGGATGGGTTGGGTTAGACTGGTGCATTCTTCCTTGAGGTACTGGGGATGAGTTGATGCACATGGGACCAGTTTGCTAATAGGAAGCTCCTGCAGGGTTGCTGTCCAGGGCTGGTCACCTTTGCAAATAGTGTTGGTGCCTGCTTAGAGGCTGAAAGATGTAGGAATACCTCTCCTCAGCTCTCTGCCTTCCCTTGGGGGTGGAAGAGTCTGACTTGTTCTCCCTCTCTCTTGAGATTAGGTGGAGTAGGAATGTCTTCTGTAACTTGTGTACAACAGTTTCTGCAGCCGTTTAGAGCCCAGGGAAGGGCTCTGGTAGGAGGGTGCTGGGATCTCTTGCTCCTAGTAGTAAGATTAATGCAGTGATTCTTCCTATTTTGTTGCAGGCAACACTGCAGTTCTGCATTGTGAAGCCCCTCATGGCCATCGTCACCATTATCCTACAAGCATTCAGGAAGTACCATGATGGCGACTTTAAGTGAGAATGGCGAAGTCGGGGCAGGGAGGGGGGCAGCCCTCTTTCCCGGAGTGTGGTGGTAGCAGCAGAAAAGTCAAGGACATCCACAGGGTGTTCCAGTGGGCCAGGGCTGCTGCTTCCCCAAAGCTGATTACTTTAGTAGATGGGTGTTTTGGGGGTGAGGAGTGGAGCAAACACTGCCTTTTTAAATAAGGGGGCAAAATTTCCCTGCAGATCCTCAATAAGGGAGGAGGCCCCACAGTCAGTTAAGTGTTGAGCTGGACTGCTGTTGGTGTTCCCACCCTTATGCTTGTTCTAGTTTGGTCCTGTTTAATTTTTGGACAATTAACTTTCCCCACTTCAACTCTCTCTCTCCCAACTGCAAGACTGGCCCGAGCCGTGTGAGCTGTTTTGGTGTAAATCTTCTTCGCAATACTTGTCACGTGGCCAAGTACAGCCCCTTGGAGGTCTACAGTGTGGCTGCAGTTGCTGTCATTGTTCATGCAGAGAGATGCTTCCACTGGACGTTACAGGACAGCCAGTGTGCAACATCCCCTTTCAATCTGAGCAGCAGAGTCTCTGCACCTTCTGTCCTGCATCCCTCTTTATAAACCTGCTTATTTTAGGTTCCTGACGAGTTGCTAATGTGACTTTCGGGGATAGTATCAGCAGCTTGGCTGACTCATTCTGTCTCCCTCCAGTATTCACAGTGGATACCTCTATATCACCATCATCTACAATTTCTCCGTCAGCCTGGCACTCTACGCTCTCTTCCTCTTCTACTTTGCCACCATGGAGCTCCTGCGCCCATTTGAACCAGTCCTCAAGTTCCTCACTATCAAGGCAGTTGTCTTCCTGTCCTTCTGGCAAGGTGGGTCCTAGGGATCAAAGTTTTTTAGGAACATGGCACCTCTTCTGTCAGTAAACAGGTGCATCCCCCTACAACCTGTGGGTCAGGGAGCTGGACCATGATATCAATGTGACCAACAGAGGTCATGGAGTCAGAACTGACACCCTCCCACCCCCTTCCTGCTTTTTTGCACAGGGATGCTGCTGGCCATTCTGGAGAAATGTGGGGTGATCCCTGAAGTTCAGATCATTGATGGAAAAGAGGTGGGAGCTGGGACAGTTTCTGCTGGCTACCAGAACTTCATCATCTGCATTGAGATGCTATTTGCCTCCATTGCTCTGCGCTATGCCTTTACCTGCCAGGTATACAAAGAGAAGAAGGAAAACTCAACAGGTAAACTCTCCTTTGAAGCCATGTTTTGTATATCTCTGTGTCTCCTGGTGTAGGTGGGAAGACGGAAACCTATTCAACACTTATCAGGGAGATGGCAGAAATCCTTAGAAGCCAATTTCCTGTTCTTCCCCTTTAACTTCCTTTTCCTCTTCATGATATCTCTAGGCAGCTGCATATGCCCAGGGAGAGAGACCTTGGGAGGGACGGCTGTGATGGGGAGCTCCCAACATGGCAGCTCTCTCCGACAGGAGACGGCTTGAGCGAGAACTTTTTGAAATGTCTCAGAGCCGTCGTGTGTGAGATACTCACTCATTTCAGTGTGGTGTCGGGGTTAATCTCCTCCTTGTTCTCCTGTTGCTTGTGATCCCAGCTGCTTCGTCGGGTTGCAGACTCTCGTGTTAGGAAGACGTGGTTCTTGCTGACAGTGGAGCCTGGATCTGAATCCCAGCCCCTGGGCGCTGCCATAGCAACGATAGCTGGTCTCTGTAATAGCATCCCTCTGACACAGGGGATTTTGTCTAACCTAGTGATGTCCTACCAGAAGCCAACTCCCACAGGTCAAAGCTACTGATTGGCCCCTTTTCCTAGAGCAGGGATTGTTGCAGTTCCCAAGAGGAAGGCAACAGGGAAACCTTGTGTAGCACCAGTAAGGACTAGGGTCACTTGAGGTTGGGGTCACAATTCTTCTGTGGACTTGTCTGTCTGTTGCCACTGGAGTAGTGGGGTAGTGATGGGCTGAGCAGTGGGAACCAGGAGTTGAACTTCTCCCTAGTGGGAAGAGTCTGGTTGGCTCTGGGGGTTTTGATCTGTTGAAAACGCCAGCGTCCAGAAATGCAAGAGACTAAAACAGAGGAAGCAGAAGAGGGGAATTCTGCCTCTTGTTCCCGTGACCCTGGAGTGGCAGCTAAATCAGGAAACTATTTAACCCCAGCTATTCTGGTGATGTGGGGCTTGCCTTCTGAACAGCTCCCATTCGCCTAGGAAAACATGGGAAAAGGGAAGCAGAGGTATGGAGCAGAGTAAAACTCGCCTGCTGTTAACCTGCTTGCAATCTCTAGGCCCCCAACGTTTGGAGCAGTTGGCTTGGGGTAGACATCCATCTGTTGGGAAACACGTTGCACCATTCCCAAGTGAAGCATCGTGTCCCTCTGCGCTGCTGCTCCATGCAGACGGGCTGTGCTTGCCGGTCCATCACAGAGCAGCCCAAGCTCATTCTCTGCCCTATTGCCCCTCTCCCCACGCACATGCCAGACCAGAGGATGGAGCAGTGGTGGGATAGCCATGTCTCTCCTTGCCCCTTTAGCTGTGTCTTATAAGAATCCCTGTTAGCAAAATGTTCTCTTGGTCCTATAAAATGAGACAAATTTTTTCTTTCTCCTGGGGATAGATGTATTTAACTTTCTAGTGCTCTGGCATGAAACTCCTAGCAACTCCCCCTTCTCAAACCCAACTGCTTCCAAGAGTGGAAAGGAACCCTCTCCCTCCCAAAAACCTGTAGCAAGAATCTTGTGGCCATGTGCCATGGCCAGACCCTCCCACCCCCAACCTAGGTAACGGCAGGCCCATAGCCACAGCTCAAATGCTGTGATTGCTGCATATTGCTACTTGCTGTTAGTCTAAAGATTTGATATGTTGGACCTTCCAGGGCTCTAATCTGTCCTATGTAGCCAGGAACTGCTTTTCTAGATTGGAAAAGATGATCCAACCACATGGTGTGGAGTCTAACTGGCTGCCAGCTTTGGGGCCAAGAAGGAATTCTTCCCCAAATTAGACTGACAAGCATCACTGACCGGGGGGAAGAGGCATTTATCTTCCTCTGTAGCACAGGGTGTGGTTCTCTTCTTGAATTATTTGAGCACACTTGGACCTACCTGATCCCCTGCCACTGCCCCTGTGAGCCCTCTTCTTTCCCTGGCACATGACATAAGGGTTTCTATAGGATGTTTTGTGATACTTGTGATACATGAGAGGGACCAGAGCAAATGTTCTTGTTGCTCCTTTTGGACAACTGGTTGCTTGTGAAGGCAGGGAGCTGAATTTGGCCTAGGAACCTCTTTTCAGCTCTATGTTCCTACAAAATTTTTTTTTTTTCCCCAGCAAACCTTGCCCCCATGCAGAGCATTTCCAGCGGGCTGAAGGAGACTATGAGCCCTCAGGATATCGTCCAGGATGCCATCCACAACTTCTCCCCTGCGTACCAGCAGTACACCCAGCAGTCCATGCAAGAAATGGAAATGAAAGGCCCTGGGCAGAATGGACATGTGTCCTCCAAAGCTGAGGGGAACAAGGGCAAAAGAAGCAAAAACATTGAGAAGAGGGTGCTGATCATCTCAGATGATGAACCATAGGAGATGCCCGAGGGGGGACAGTGACCTGGGAGATGCTGGAACTCCTTTCTCTCCTAGCGGCTCCTTCAGTTTGGAAATGTTCTCAGAACTGGGACTGCCTGGTGTGACAGGAGCACAATGAGAGAGACAGATGGGCCAGAGAAACTAAGGCATCTGCCCAAAGGCAGCCGTCACCTTTTGAGAAGGAAAGCAGCAAGAACCTGATGGGTGGGATGCTGAGCAGGGCTGGCATCTCCTGTCCTTTTTCTCCTGCTACTGGGGACCTGTCCTGCTCCGTGTTCCTACTGCCATGGCTCAAGTACTGACGTTTTGCCATTCAGTGGTGCCTGTCTCCCCGCCCCCATCAGGATTTTGAGGCATGTCTCTAGCTGCCATCTTAGCCCTCCGGGAGGAAACTGAGGACGGGTGGCCTGGGCTTTTGAGTGTGCCTCCCCATGCTAAAAGATGGACTAGTTGAAGTCAATCCCTTCTTGCCATGAACAGGCTGAGCAGCAGCGCTGTCAGCATTGAGTCTTGCTCTAGTTTCTCTTGGTCTAAGTAAAGAGAGGAGCATCTCTAAAGATCCTGTGGAGAAGACCTGACTTATAAGGGTAACTCTTTTTTTTTTTTTTTTTAAATTTTTCACTTAAAAGTTTAAAAAAAAAAATTCTCAGGAATTTTGTAGGAACTAGTCAGGGGAGGAAGAATTAACCCTGTTTTCTCGTCTGAGGGGAATACAGCAGCCTGACAATGTAATACTTCTTCCTCCCCCACCAGCCCCACGAGGAATGGTGGGGGAACTCCTTTCTGGGCTGCAATGGGGCTAAACTGCTGCTGCTTCTCGAGTTTCCATTGAAGAAACCTCTTGTTACTTATGTCTTAAAATGACTCTTCCCTCTCCAAGTGGACCAGTTGTTGAAATGGATGCCAATTTGTCTATCAAATTGCTCTTTAGGGATCTGAACTGTGAGGATTGTAGTAATTTATTTACTGGGAACTGTTTGTTCCTCCTGAAATGCTTTCTATTAAAGGTTCCCATCCTTTACATTTAAAAATAAAAAAAAAGTTATAGTAAAAAAGCCTCTAGCTTCATGGAAACTGGACGGTACCAGAAGAAAGTAACTTAATGGTATAAGAAGAATGGTTGGACCCTTCCCAGAGCTGGGGTTACCCAGATATATGACTAGCATAGCTGGATGCTATGTGCCTATTTAAAAAAAAAAAAAAAAAAAGGCCATGTCCTCTGTTTGAAACTGAAATGGGAGAATAGCTGTGATACAAGATGATAGGCAAGTAAAATATGAGTAAGGCCATCTCTTCTTGGTGACCTGCTCAGTACCACTTATGGGATACAATTGCTGTAAAAAGTGGATTGGATGGGTTATTTGACAGCAGGGGGGAAACGCACTTAATTCCACCTAACTTCCCATCCCCTCCCTCCAGAACTACGAGGTAAAGAGAACCCTTGTCTATCCATGCTAGACCCTTGTCTTCCTTGCTAGACTGCTTTCTGGAAACTCCAGAGTGGTGGCTCTGCTTTGTCTCTATCCCTTGGGGTTTTTCAGCTGAGTGTTGGTAGGTCTGCAAGAGCTGTGCTTTAAAGTCTCAGAGCAGCTGTGTAGCTAGACTCCCCCTTGATCTGTCCTTTTCTAGCATTAGGATTCCTCAAGTCTGAGAAGTGTAAATTGAAACCAACAGTCTTGCATTATATTTATAAGAATGTGTTTTTCAAATAAATGGAGATTTCTATTATGGCTTGAGTGAGCATTTCATTTTGGCAACTGCTTGTTCCCTGGGTCTCTCCATGAGGGCAGATTGTGTGGTGTAGCTTGGCTCTGCAGGGCAACACTGAGCAAAGCATCACTTCTTGGTCCCTAAACCCTGAGGCATCACCTACGGCCTACACATTGGTTCCCATGTACAGGAGCTCTTGTCTTGCTGCCTTCTGCACTAGAAATAAGCTGTCCTACTCCTCTCTGCACGTGTTCCAGCCACTGTGTAGCTGTCAAGCAGCTGTATGCATTTGGGAACTACCCTCTGCCTGTTTTGCAGCAGCAAGTGAACAGCAGGTTTGATCAGAGGAAGCAATCTGCAGCCAAACCAACCTGCAAATCCCTCTGAGCTCATCTGCAGCACTGCTCCTACCTGCTCAGCTGGTGAGACTGCTTCCTCCAGGCTGGCAGCCTTCCTGTTGTGAGCTGTGACTAGATCCACAGAGAGGACTTGTGCACAGCAAATCCAGTCCCTAAAGATGGGATCCTGTCTGGTTCTGCTTCAGAGCCTGGGGAGCAGCTGTCAGCCATTACAGCAGCACCCTGAAGCTCTGCCAGGGCCACTCAACTTTACAACACAGCCATCAAGGGCACTATATGAGCAAAGTGCCAGCTGAACACCTTGGGTTACCTTATGCCAGCCGCCTTGCGAGAGACCCTGCCACCAAGGAGAGAAGAGGCCCCTTCATCTAACAGATGGCAAAGGTGACCAGAGTCCAGCTGTTGGGCTCTTGGGTTCCAGGAACACATGCACAAGAAAAAGGATAATTCACTACTGCACAACTGATGAGCACCACTAACTTTAGCCTGCGTGCATCTGCAGGGTCAGGCCCAGGATTGTCAACCCAAATCTGTTACCCAGATGAGGGATGCAACACTCACCTTCAGCCCTGCAAACATGACTGAACACCAGGTAGTTACTGTCCTCTGAACCAGCAGAGCTGCTTGCAATGATGGGCTTGAGTTTGGACTCTTTGACAGGGGCAAGCACTGTTTATAATGAGCAGCCTGGTGTTACTGCACTCATGCTGCTAAATTATTAAAAGGCATCCACAGAGAACAAAGACAGTAAATGTGTCTAAAGCAGAGCAAGACCTTCACTAGCAGATGGGAGTTGCAGACTCTAATGGTAACGAGCCCTCCTGCATGGTAACAAATAAGCCTTCACCATCTATTACTAAAGAGCATGGAGGTGGGCCACATGCTTGGCCTGTGTCTACATCTCTGAAGCCTGTCTCTAGCAATACTTCAGCCACAACAGCACTCTCCAATGCAAGTGAACTACAACTCATGATCAGTGCCTCAATTTGTTTCCCAAGTTTTCAGCATTGAGTGCTTCCCTTACAGGAGACTAGCTTCACCTACTAGCACTTCAAAGGCTAAGGCTTTAGTATCAACAGCCAGATGTGGCCAGTGACATTGCACCTGATGTTAGGCTTTCCATTTGACCATGTCAGAGGGCATTTCCCATTGCTCTACATATCAAAACTCTCGATACAGACTCTCGGGGTTTTAATAGAGGCCAGGGGGAGGGGGATAGGTTTCCACCCTAGGTATTGTTCTTTGTGCTGCTCCCTATTTCCCAATTGCCCTTGTTTTAAATTGCTTAATTCTCTTGGACAGAAACCATCTCATTTATCCACTGTAGCACACTGGGTCTGTCCTGCATCATGGACAGGCTTCTAACCACATAGGGGTGGCTGTTCCTACTGATGTGCCTGGGGCATGAGCTACATGTTCGAGATGTGCCAGTGCAGCCTTCAGAGACTTGTGCTACTTTTTTTTCAAACTTGCTCTACCAAGCCATCTTGCACACAGACTGCACCATTTGTCCTGAAATGCTTATGGCAACAACATAGTCCATCTCTAGAAGATGAACTTCTGATCAGCCCCCGGAGGTGAAACACTGATTTCCACCTTCATTTTCCTCTTGAACTCTCCATTGCTGCTAGTCTCTCTGGCTGGCAGTCTTGACAGCTCCTCTCTCAGCAGGCTCTGAACACTGTTACTACTTTGCCCACTACACAGCACACGAGAAAATGGCAATCCTTTAAATCCCTCCTTGCCTTGCTCACTGCAACCACCACCTTGCTTCTGCAGGTCTCCTGATTCATGCCATCCACAGCTAATCCTTACAAGCTCAGCTCATGTCACATCCTTCATAACTATCTAATAAAGTGCTTTTCTGCCTATTAAGATTAAACTTCTGGGCCTCTTACAGGTGCCTTTATTTTAATGCATCTGAATTCCCTTAACTTGCCATCCTGTTTCCTTCTACTTTCCACCTTAACTATCTCATAGGCGTAGGGTGTCGGTTGAATGGAGAGGTTGTCTCCTAATCAGACCTTCCAGTATCAGACTCTGTTGAAAGCTAAGGAACAAATGAACAAAGGAAAAATAGGGATCAGAAGTCAAACAGGCTTAGTGACAAGTTTAAGGCATCCATCAGTATCCACACGGGGAAAATGAAGGGGCTTTACAATCACAACATGGGAGGTACGACTCTATATATTTGAAAGAATCTGCAGCGCACATTGAGCTGGTCGCGTCTCGTACAGCAGCAGTCTCAGCACTTAATTAAGATCTCTTGACTGTGATAGAAAGTACCGCCTCTTGTTAGTTGCCGGGAAGTCTCCCACCAAGCTATAGCCCATATGTCTTGTTATGCATTAGTTCTGCTGTCTCACAAACCACTCCACCCTATGCATCTCTTTTTCAGTTCCAAGCTACATCTTTTTTGCATATAGACGCACATAATTTCAAGTGAGTCATGCAGCCGAAACGAGTGCACTGGGAAGAGATGCTAAATCTACTGAAAAGCTGGTGCCACTTGGTGATGGCCAGGTCACCAGGTCAGTGAGAAGAGCGATAGCACCAGGTTGCTCTTGCTCACTGCACTATAGAAGTACTTAAACCTATGAGATGGGATGCAGTAGCACATATCTAACCAGCAAAATGATTACATCACGTTACTCCACTGCCATATGCGCCCCAAGTTTGTTCTCGCCGACAGTCCGTGTGAGTCACAGCTGAACGTACCCAGACTGACTTCTAAAGAACCGCCTTTCATTAACAGAATGAAAGAGCAGGCCCCAGTGGGCTACATGCTGTACAGGCTAAAAGGGATTAAGACAAGAGAAATACTCCAGTGAAGAACAACTCAGGCTCTGAAATGCTGACGATACACCAGAGCAAATCTGAAACCAGAAAATGCTTTATTGGAAAGGTACAAAAACCAGTCACTGCAGCTAGATTTACAGCAATAAATTACGGTGTGGCTGTCAAGAGAAAGTAATGGACACATACACTGGGCTATACGCCTTACAAACAGGAATCCACATTACTTGGTATATCAATAATTTATTTTATAATAAAAAAGCAGCACAAAAATAAATATTGAAATGAAATTACTGAGTAACCACAGAGGATAGAAGGAGCTGGTGATAAAAAACAAAACAAAAAACAAAACAAAACTTAAAACAGAAGACCTCTATCATTTAAAAAACAAAATGAAAGCAAAGGATCCACCATCTACGGAAACACCCCAGCAGACTGAAGTACAGACGACAAGGGAAAACAAACCCACATTACAAAAGTTTGTCTTTTTTTTTTTCCTTTTTAAATAAAAACAATCATGACAACAAAGTTTAAATGATTTGAGAGAGGGAGAATGCCGCCACCTCCTTCCCGGGCTCCGAGTTGTATAGCATGAATGCCCCCTGCTATTCAAGCAACGCGCTTCTTCCACTGACTATCCCTTCCCCCCTCTCACTATCCACCTCCATTTCTCCCCCCCCCCCCCACCCCCCCCCCCGCGAGCGGTCAGATTCACACCCCCCACACCCCGTGGCCCCC